ACCGCCGCCTTTGCCTCCACCGCCGCCTTTTCCTCCACCGCCGCCGCCTTTGCCTCCACCACCGCCTCCCTTTCTCGCGTCAGTGAGATCCGTGAATGACAATATGACAACTGCTATTATCTGTAGATATACCCGAATGCTGTTTAAAATAAAAGGAAATTTCCACTCCAGTGCGAAAATTAGCCTTTTTTCTTTGACAGGCAAACTTGATTGCATAATATATACGTTAACAACAGGTTTTACCATACCATCTCATTTACAATTCTCAAACAATAATAGAACAGGTTCTGTAGAATTCGCGAGATGATAAACATCAGAAATAAAAAAGCTTCAAAAAGTGAGCTTTGCCTAAAACAAAGAAAATCATGACAATGACAAAGGCTGTATATACAGTTGAACCTTGATAACTTGAACCTCCCCAATTAAGTCAAATGCCTCTCTATACCTCAAATTTGTTTCCAAGTCCCGATTGAATTCCCCAAGGAACAATGTATTACAAACCTCCTTAACTTGAAGCTTTTTCCTCTCAAACCTCTCTAACTCAAATTTGTGGGAGGACTTTTGGCTATTTTTTCTTGACAAAGGACAAAAGAAAGAAGAAATGAAAAACATAATTACATGTATTTGGAAATTAAAGGAATAAGACTAAATTCAGCAAATTTAGTTCTTGCCTTCAAGTTCAGCATCCTGTCAACACATTTCAGATGCATTTAATGCCCATCAGAATATCATAATTTACAAGTTTCTGCAATTCTTCCATATTTTCTATGACAAAAATGTTTCGTTCTGTTACTCGACAAACCTCAATTATTCAAAACCTCCTTAAGTCACAACCTCCCTAAGTCTAATTTTTGTGGTCCCTTTACATTTGACTCACAGAAGTTCAACTGTGATTACATCTACCAGAAGAGCACAAGAACGCACAATTTAATTGAAAAATAATGATGAATGCTTTTTGCAACATTTTTCACTTTGGTGTTTCGGTCATATATTTTCTTAGGATAAAAACCGAATAAAAACTCGTACAGATTCCAGCTTACATAATTCTTCCTAAAATCGCGATGAATATTTCTTATTATATGAACCATCGCAAGAACAAAATGTGAGCATCATTTATTTCTGACTCACGTGTCTGAAATTCCTCAGGAAAATAAAAATATTTCGCATTATATTCTCTCACCGTAAAGAAAAAGATGATCTTTATCAAATTCATGTCGCCACTTCTGGATTGATCCGACCGAGTTTCACACACCCAGCGCAAAAAGTCGTTCTGCAATGGGAAAGGAATGCAAATATTTTAAAAATTTGCAGATAGACAGAAAAGGTACTTTCCAGTTCAATGTAAGTTGATTAAAGAGTTCGGCACAATGCAAAAATCATTCAATAATGAATGGACCCACTTGTTTGGTGACACTTAAAAAATATAACTTGGTAACACTTGAAAACAGAAAGTAACACATATATGGACTTCGAAGGACCTTTGATTTCGAATTGTAATGGATTAGGTCCAACACACATTCAATAGTTTTAAAAGCAAATTTTCATGAGGTTTCTTGTTGGACAAATATCTGGGGGTTTTGTTTGTTGAATTATATTCCACTATTGAATTATTCTACGATTTTCTTTCAGAATAACTAACGATTTAGAAATCTTTGGCAAACTTTTCGCAAGATCTGTGCCTGCTGCAATATTGGCTTGAACTTGAAAAAAACATTCAAGGAAATACAAACATACTTGATTGCGAATACAATTATATTTTTTAAACGAAAAGCTTCAATTTAACTCTGGGTTGACCAAATTATTGATTTATATGAAGTCAACCTGATATTTTATTTTAAAATGTGCATCAAGGTTCGAAATCTGAATGCCCCAGTGTCTGTTGGTTGTCATCAAATTTTCTTTATGTAAAGGTTCAGGGAAATGGGGGCATGTATTCGTTATGCTAATTTCTCATTTTACCCGTATAATGAGCCAAAAATTTGCGGTTAGTGTTTTACGCATTTATGGTTCAGTTCAGAAAGAAATGTTTTTTCCACAGTATATAATGCTTAGCAGTCTTCTGGTCCCTTGTCTTTATTCTCATGCTGAAAACACGAACAGAAATTTCTTACACGGAAAAAAGTCTTCAGATTTTACTCTGAAAAGCACGCAAAAAAATTCTTCGACTTTCTCATTGCGCCTTTTTTTAAATTTTCTCAAGAAAGCATTTTGCCACCAAAAAAAAAAAAGAAAAAATCGGTGGGGTTTCAAAAAATCGAATATCGAGAGCCTAAAATTTGCGGGAGCTTTAAAAGAAGCGTTTCAGGATTCGGTTTTGAAAAGCACAGAAGGCTCACTTTGTTTCTAAAAAAAAAAAAATCTTGAGATAAAAGTGCGGAACAGTTTTGACTGCTAGAAAGTTTTTGAAGTTCGACTTTTGAGCACATGCCGAGCGGGGAATTTCTGGTAAAATGCGCAGATTTGGCAGAAGCCAGGCGCAGTTTTTATAGCCGGAGGATGAAGCTAGCTAGCTACTGCAGCCGATCGACCTTCAGCTAGATGATGAACAGCAACGTTG